TCTCTCTCTCTGTGTGTGTGTGTGTGTGTGCTTGCATAGGAATGGCAGGACCAAGGAGGAAACCGATCTGTGTACTTTCATTACGTTCCGGCGATAGGCATTCTCACGAAAATGGAACGGACCTGTGAAAAGTTGGCGGAGGGAGGGAGGCGGGGGGCCGGGGTAAAATGGAGGGAGAGAGAGAACAGGCGACGTTCAGAGAAAAGTGACACGTTCAGTGTGACAAAACCACATTCGTGATCAATTACTTCGATTCCGCAAGCCGGCCAATGAAGACGTCTAATCCGAACACCCACTTAACGGACCACCTCGTCAATCAACCGATCCATCAATCAACCAACGCGTTAATCAATCAACCAATCCAGCAATCAACCAATCCAGCAATCAACCAATCCAGCAATCAACCAATGCGTTAGTCGACCATTCCAACAATAAACCAACCAGCTGATCCCGCTACTCCGGATCAAATCTAAAAGCATCGATTTATCATATCCATCAATCAATCCACCACCGCGTTAATCAATCCACCAATCAAATAACCAATCCATCAATCAATCCATCAGTCGATCAACAAATCAGCATTGGACCGCTCTTAACCCCGCGGAGACTGCTCCTTCTTTCCCTTGGCTGGCTATCGACAGCCGTGTCAACTGCAATCGAAAATCGCTTAAGACCCAGCGCCAGTCATGCCCTCAACCCTTCTTTTTTGCTTTCTTCTTTTTTTCTCTCTGCACTCAACCCTCCACGAAGGAGTGGAACAGGAGGATAGAGCGAGTTAAGGGAGACAAAAGAGCTCTTCGCTGTCTCTACCTCCTGTCGACACATATACACGGATATCTGGACATCATCGAGCGGGATCCATGGGAAATACTCTTTCATTCGCTCTCCTTTTCTTTACCCATCTGCTAAGTTTTTTTCTTTCGTTTTTTCCATCTAGACATTAAAGCATATCGTTCAAGCGCGGACTTCTGCACTAATCAATGGCTGAACACGTAATATCACAGCAGGTTCCCTTGGAGAGAAAACCCTATAAACATAGACTACATCCACGTGGATGTACCTCAACACTCTCGTCGCATTCGATCCACGTGGCTATCATCAATCCCACATTCCCACAGCGACCTTCCGTCATCGTTGCTGACCCACGTTGCTTGCTGTTCGGCTTCCATTGATAGTCCATCCAAGTGGCTTTCAGCGTTTCACGTGACTTTCACCTATCCCCACGTGATTTTCAGCGGTCAACGTGACTTTCACCTGTCCACGTGGCTTTCAGCAATCCACGTGGCTTTCACCTATCCACGTGGCTTTCACCTATCCACGTGATTTTCAGAGACGACTTTCACCTGTCCACATGATTATCAGCAGTCCACGTGGCTTTCATATCCACGTTGCTTTCACTTGTCCACCTGCTCTTCAGCGCTCCACGTGGCTTTCAGCTCTCCATCTGGCTTTCAGCTGTCCACCCAGCGGCCCACGTGGCTTCCAGCTGCCCATCTGGCCTTCAGCTGTCCACGTGGCTTCCAGCGAACATTGCCACACGTCGTATCCATCCAAGACATATCCACGTGTCCACGTTGCTTTCTGGCCTTCACGATACTCATCCTCCCATCAATCGCCCGACGACAGACTCAAGATGCGTCCGCTGTAGCTCTCAATAATAAGACAGCTTGACAGCCAGAGAATGAGAAAGCTTAGCAAGGATGGCCGCAGAATCAACAACCTTCGCAGAAAAGAGAGAGAGATCATCCAACAAGAGAGAGAAAGACAGCGAGAGAGAGAGAGAGAGAGAGAGACGGAAGAGAGAAAGGGAGAGAGAGAAAGAGAGAGAGAGAGAAAGAGAGAGAGATGCTTGGATGGGAGAAATTCGCGAGGACAGAGCGCAAGATGAAAAAATTTGAGGGAGACAGGTGATCAGACGGGAAGAGGGGAGGAAGAAGGGGGAGAAGGGGGAACAAGGGCAGGAGAACATACAGCCAAACCAGAAGAAGAGAAAACACAACTGAACCAAAGAAAGGAGAAAAGACTCAAACTAAAGCAGGAAAAGACTTAACTTACTTCTTCAGAGGGCACATTTGCCGCAAGTCGAGAGAGGCCAGAGGCGACCTCGAGCGCGTTCAAGAGAGCGGGCTCATCAATTTCCTGGTTGGTGGTCCCCACCGTCCCGCCAAGGCATTCTCGAATTTCTCGCAAACGTAGAACGGCATTACGCCACTCCATCGAACCCTTCCCGCCATAGCTGCCTCTCCCGCCAAAAGCACAAGGGCTGCCTCCTCGGCACATACTTCCGGGGCCTCGAGATCTTCCAGCTTGGGCGGGAAACGTTCCACCCGCCATCGCCTCCCCTTCTCCTCCCCCATCGTTCCCCCTCACCGCGGATCCACCTCTCCGGGTCCGAAAACGTTGCCGGCGCGACGACATGCCCATCGCCATCGCCCCGCCCTCACGAAACCCGGGGCAAGGTCCCACTTGCGCCAATTAGGAGATTTCGGCCGTCGATCTTCGCTATCTACGGTCAGTATCTCTTAATTCGTGCAAGTGGGACCTAGCCCCCGGTTGACACCACGGCTATACCAACGACCGGCGGTTCACACGATTGGACTTGCGCGTTTCCACATGTCGTCCCGCGAAATGTTTCGTCCCGCCCTCGTTGTCCCGCCATATCAATATCAAACCAGATCAAACCTAATGGTCATCGCTGGTCATCGCTCAAAAATCGAACTCCGGGGCCTCGCTCCGCCACTCACCAAATGTGCAAAACGAGGACGAATCTACCGCTAGAACACGGGACGATACGCCGCCGTATTTTCGTTTTGGTCTTTTGTGCATGTCGTGAGCAGTGGATCGAGGCCCTGTATGGTCGCCCCGCCAAACCTCGTCCGTCCTTTCCTTCGCGATTGGAGTTCCAGTTTCGGAAGATTTTCGCGGCACCCAGCTCGAACCGACAGATCCATGACCGAGGAGTTTGAAATTCAAAATTCGGCAAAAAGAACAAGTTCAGAATTCGGGAAAAAGTCGAGGTGGTTGAGTTTTCCCAACTCAACGGTGCAGGTGGGACCTGGCCCCAGTTTCGCAGGTCCCACTACAGTAGCAGCTAGGTAGCAGCGTTGAGTTTCCTCAACCGCTGATCTCCACAAACGTCCAGATTCGTCGAACGTTGAGGAAACTCAACGCCGCTACCGTAGTGGGACTTGGCCCCAGGTGGCATAAAACTGTCGACAGAAACTGCTCCTGAGTTCGGATGAGACGAAAATAAGCTTTTCGGCAGAGACCGAAATATGAGGCAAACGCACCAATCGGCTTGCTCCTGTTCGTACACCCCGGAACTGTTGAAATGCGGACCGAAGATCGAATCCCCAAGACAACGAAATTGACCAGAATGACGTCATTTTTTTTTTCATCTTTCTATAGAATGTCATTCTTTTTTTTTTTTCTGAAGTACCTGGAGTATTTCTTTTATTCTTATTATTTTTTTTCCCGATGGACCACGGATCAGGACCGAGGTCCCACTAGCAAAAAGGATAGGATCGAGCTCCTGAATCTGGATGTGTTTTAAGCAGAGATGCAGAAAAGCAGTTCAATTTCGATTTCCTGCACATCTCCATAAACTCGTCCAGATTCAGGCATTCGATTCGGTCCTCCTTGCTAATGGGACAACACCCCAGAAGAAGGGGAAAAAAAAAAAAAGAGGCGAACAGCAACATCCTCCACTGGTGCACAACTCCCTATGGTCCGATCACACCTGACGTGGTGAAATCACAGAGTGGTGGTCAGATCACACCTGCCCTGGTGAGATCACATCTGTGGTGGTGGCACAGGACCCATAACAGAACTTTTGAGCTTTTGCCTTTGCACCCACTCGTCCAGGAGTTATAAAAACTTCCACGGAGGGATCGGTTGGCATGTCTTTGTTAAACCCAAAGACTGCAACTTGTTAAGTATGCATTATTCCGCGGGTGATGATCTAACCCGGCCGGCGTACCCATATGCCGGATAAACTGTGTACAGTCTGACGCGGGAACGCATACTACGAAAAAAGAAAAGAGGAAACTCTCGACGATTTTGCAGTCCGGTATTTTGAGTACGGTATGACAATGTACGAATACGGCGACGCTATGGGCCTCTCAACACGACCACAGGGATGATGACTAGTTCAGGGGGTGTCTTTAGGCCACTGAAAACCGGCTCGAGTGTCACATAAACCAACAAACCTTTTCAAAGATGGAAAAAGTAAGACTCAGGCGATTACCCTAGCGGTTGGAAGAGCCAAGAAGGAACCAGGCTTCGAGCTGGGAAATCTTGATTTTCCAAACCGTCCCAGAAGCAGGCCAGCATCATGTGGACTCAGTCCCTGTTGATAACACCCTGAGCAGTTTGGCTGTCGACACCAGGTATGGACATCTCTGAGGTCTGCACACGATGTCACTGGGCGTGGGAGACTACATTTTTTTTTTTCTGTTTTTTTTTTCTTTTTTTGTTAAAAAGGCTAATTCTTTAAGCCCAACCAATTCAATTACCTGTCAAATCTGGACAGGACGGCCTTTCAGGCCTTTTTTATTGTCATTATAGATAGTATTACGGGAACCCCATAGTAGCCACATCTGTGCTCAAGCCTCCAACGAGGGAACATGCGGGAGCTGCACCGTGCTCAAGCCTCCAACGAGGGAACATGCGGGAGCTGCACCCACCAGCAGGTGCGACACCTGCTACAGCAGGTGGGCGATACCGGCCAGGGGTCAGCCGGTAGCATCAGGACCGAGCTTCTTCGATGGGCCAGTCACTGTGCCTCCCCTCCGCTCCCCTCCCCCTATGAACATCAGCAGTCTCTGCTCAATGCCACTCGGGGGGACCAACGGCATATCTCTAGGTGGCGGGCACCAAGCTTGCCCAGGAAGGTACATGAGGCCAATGGGGATTGAACCCAAGACCTCCTGAATGCCACTTGCGTGCCTTACCAACTGAGCTAGGCCGCTGGATGAGACTACATCTCATCGGTGGTTATACTGTCCGCTAGCCAAAAATGTCTGGCAATCAGGGTTGTGGAGCCCCGGCTGCGGGGCCCCGGCGGGGGTCCGGGGGTCCAGGGGTCCGGGGGTCCGGGGGTGCGCACACCCAACCCCGGCTCCGGAGTCCCCCCCCCCCCAACAAAAAAAAAAGGGTCTCGCTGCACTACTCTCCGCTCTCTGGGAAATCGGAGAGTACGCGGAGAGTTGTCAGACTCTCCGATTTCCTGGATTTTGGGTCATCGCTGCACTAACTCTACAAACTCAGGGCCTCGCCACACCACTCTCGAATCTCGAAAATTCGTGAGTCGGGCACCGCCACACAGCATCGCTCGAAAAAAAAACTCGGATCTGTTCGAGAGCTGTCAGAAAGGTGTTTTCGAGTGCCTTCTCGAAACGATGTTTTTTCGCCCAGCCTGGAGCATTGGACTTTTCGTGATACCGCCCGTCCGCGCTCGAGTTCGACGTCCATTTCGAGAGTTGTCAGGCCGTTTTCTCAGGCCGCGGATAGCATCCACGTTCGAGAGGAGTTCTCGAGAGGCCGGTCTAGTGTGCTATGTGGCGAAGGGCCATTTTCTCTCGAAAACCAGCCTCTCGAAAAATCCTGACAGCCCTCGAATATTTTCGAGATTCGAGAGTGGTGTGGCGAGGCCCTCAGACTGTACAACTATCGAGGTTACAAAACGACAGCTCAAAGTCCCTATTTGTCTGCCCAGACTCACGTTTCACTCTCCAGATTTGGAGCAAATCGGTGGTTCCTTCGAAGGTCTCTCCCCGTAACGGATTTTGCAGGTTGGGTACTCTCCGAAGGCGGAGAGTGCAAATCTTTTGTGGTTTCTTAAAGCTCTCCGAATTTCTTTTCGGGTTCTATAGGAGAGTTTGTGCAGCGATGCATAACTCTCCGAATTTGCGCAAAGTAGAGTAGTGCAGCGAGACCCAAAAATTCAAAAAAAAACAAAATGTGGGGGGTGTACAGTGAGAGCGCACACCCCGTGGGCTAAACCCCAAAAATGGGATTTTGTGCCCCACCCCAGACTCCCTCCCGGCCCACACCCACCATTGCGGGGACCGGGGTAGCTGCGGGTGTGGGGCCGGGGGCGGGGCCAACAGCCGGCGGGGGCAGGGTTGAGTGCCGGCGGGGAACGGGTGCGGAGCGCGGGGCTCGGGGT